CTTATGATAGAAAATGTGATTTATTAGTTAGGTATTTAATTTTCTACGACAACAATAAGATGTCCAGAATTTTTTATGGATTGTATTTGATTTATTTTAGGCAACTAATTACATTTTTTTCGTGTTTCTAATCCGTAATGATATATTAGTGATATACAATTGATAAATCATATCAGTAAAAACTTATCAGCACTATTCAATCTTGTATATATAAGAATGCTTAATCTCATCATTTTACTTTTTTTTAAAAGAGAATCAAATGAAGCTTTCTTTTATTTTTGCGTATTAAAAAAAGGTTTTTGTCAAAAAAAATTATTTAAAAAAAGGTCATATTATCTACAAAGGGGAGAACTTTGTCATATAAAATTAATTAAATATTTAAAAATAATCATAATATAAAACATAATAAATGTTATGATTATTGTTTAGATTTGGTTCTATATATCATGTTATACATATACAAAAAGCCCTTATTATAATTATATAAAAAATAATAAATAAATAGAAAGCACTTGCTTTGCGAGCGAGGTCTGAAATCGTAACACCAACAACTCAGCTTTTTTCCGTCCCAAGGCAACAACTTACTGGATGGCTGATAATGCGTGAATGAGCACTTTTGCGCGGGGTCTGTTTATGCGCCCCAGCTGTACATGTTTTCAGATCCTCACGCGCTTTAAACATGAAGGTCGTAGAATACTATCTCAGGATCTCCCCATATCTAGAGTAGAATATGAGTTAATCTGAATAATTGATTACAAAAATTAAGTTGGATTAAAAAATAAATTTTTTTTGACTCGTAGCATATGATTCATGAATCATATTAGTTAATTTTGATGAGTTAAGGATTAACTTGTTAATATATATTATTTTTTTTTTTAAAAAATTGTGAATATAAACCATACTGTACATAATTTACTTAATTAGGTTATTTATATATTGTACAAATATCATAATTTAATGTATTGGTGTATTTAAAATGAACCATGATGGAATATTTGAAACTCATTATTTGGGTGTATTTAAAAAAATTCATAAAAATAAATAAATAAATTAGTAGGTTAGTCCATTTAACTTACAAATTTCAAGAGTAGTGTTGAAATGTTTTCAATCTATGTAACAATATGTTAAATCTAATTCAACTTACATTTCTCATGAATTATATGATTTGGGTTAATTCATGTTCTTACCTCTACATATCATAAATAAAGAGCCTCTCAAGAGTAAAGTAATATGAGACTCTTAAAGTTATAAAGTCGATATTTATAGATAGAGAACTTTTAGTTACAAGCAATATGATTTAATTTTAAATTTATAATTGATATTTTTAAATTTGCAAGGGCATGGCTTAATATTTATAATTTCTCTTTTAAATAAGAATCTAAATGTTATTAAATTGAAGTTTCAAGATTTAACTTCTTCTCTAGATAATATTTTTTTAGTAATTTGAGACATCGATATAAAAATATACATTTTATTATCTGAATTGGCTGTTTTGTGGCAGAATTAAAAAAAATATTTATGATTATGGAACATCTAAAAAAATTTCATGCGAATATCATATTAATATTGCGATTTCAACAACTAACAAATGCACGCGCACCGCTTGCAGAGATGAGGCGGGCACTTCTGCGAGCGATGATGACTGGCACCGATAATTGCGGTCTTCCTCGAGGGTCAATGCTCAATGGTCTTTGTAATCTTTCAGTTTCAGCCTTTTGGTTTGATCTCCCAACAAAAAATAATAAGATGAACATAACTCCTGATCTTATATTTTATTCATATTTTATTTTTAATTTTTATATTTTTTAATATTTTAAATTTTTAAATTTTTACTTTTTATTATTTTTGACCTCTTTATGAGCAAATATAGAATTTTAAAAGAATTCAAAAATAATAAAAAAAAAATATAATAATTAAAATATACAAAAAATATAAGATAAAAAATAAAATGCGAGTAAAGTATAGAGCCTAAAAATTTATGTTTATTCAAAATAATATTTTTTCATGCAGCTGTGGGAACATATATATTTAGAATCAAGATAATGCCTCATCCCTTCCACTGTACAAGATGAATTTATACCCCCTCTTTTTAAAATTTTTTGAGGAGTTGAATGTTAAAAATATAAGATATTTTCTTTTAAGATATAATTATTATCTTTTTGAAAGTGTTCATATTGAATAGATCATCTAATATTTTTTTTAGGATGAAACACCTTATTAAATAAATATATAGTTGATTTAAAGACAAATAACTACTTTATTAAGAGGCAAGATTCGGTTAAAAATATTTATATTTTTTAATGAAGGGAATAAGAGATTTTGATATTTTAAAATATAAGACATTTTAATAAAAAATAAATTTTCATTAATTATATTTTTTCAATATTACCATTCTCATATATTATCTCTTTTTAATATTCTTTCACAAATAAAAATAATTGAAAGGTATTTTTAAAAGTTTATATTTTTTTAAAAAAAATTATAAAGTATGTTTAATAAATTTTATTGATATATGTAATTTTTTTAAAAGTATTTTATAAATTACTTCATCTAATCCTATTTATAAATCAAAAGGAAAATTTTTTTATTCTATTTATAATTTATCTTATTAAACTTTTGACATAGATTTTCAATGTTTAAAGAGAGAAAATATATTGTTAGATTTTATTTTTTTAAATTTTAATAAATTATGTTATAAGTGACGTGTAAATAGGATTAAATGAGTGAAACACTAAGAGCATCGTCCCATGCAAAACAATTAATCCACAGTTATTTGAAAGTGTTCATGTTAGGCCATGATCATGCAGGGTACTCCCTCTAATATTATTTATAAGATGTCTTTGAGAGAAACTTTTAATATCATGTAGCAGTTCTTTTTACATTTTCATATCTACTACTTTTCATTGTTGATAAATTCAATACAATACAACGACGATTCTTTTAATATGTATGAGACTAACACAAAAAAAGCTTGATAAATAGACACCTTTAATGCACACTACAGCGTGTTTCTCAATATTACCTAACTGCTGTCCATTCCTATCTCTCTACTGTTTTAAATTTTTGATAAATTTAATAGCTTGATAGTCCCTTTTGGGCATTCTGTTCAGAATTCGGCATTCAGAGACATCATCACATCACAGAACCTTGAAGGCATGTGGCTTCGGTGGCAGCTCGTTCGCCTTGCGTTCCTGAGACCTTCAGTTCAGACTGTCATATGGCAACATGTGAGGATTATCATATGGTGTTCCCGGTGTTTCACTCTTGGTTGACATTTTCTATGGGCAATTTTGATTCTCGTTAATTCTTATTTATTAAGTTCAGCTCTTGCGCCGTAATTTATCAATATCTAAGTTGATATCAGATAAAAATATTGAAAATTTCAATTCTTTAGATTTGATTTTTTCCCTGCCATTAAAAACATTAAAGCTATAAAAACTTGTAGAACTGAAGATACATAATAGTAGCCCCTTCGGCCAGCACCCAGCAAACAATAAAATCAACCCCCCCCCCCCCAAAAAAAAAAGATCAACACACAACAGTAACGGATTCGATTGTCGTTGAAATAATGATGAATGAGTGTTAATTTTATCCAATACTTAACTCCTGACATAAGAATTTATTATTTAGTTAATTAATAATATTTAAAACAAAATTATATCTAGGAGAAACAATTAAACAAAGAACAATGATTTCCTTCAGGGGAAAAAAAGGCATGATTTCGTTATGCCAGGGCCGGGTTTGGAAAAAAAAAAAAAGAGAGAGAAGAAGAAGAGAAGTTAAGTTAGCCGGTGAACAAGAGTGATCATTGATGGCTCGAGTCAAAGGCAATGGGTGATAATTCAACACTCATGAATGCTGCAAAGAGACAGTGAAAATGGCCAGGTCTACGGCGCAGGATATATATACGCAGGGTTGGAGTGAGGGAAACGAAGCGTTTTTGCCATGTCATCATCTTTTTGGTGTTTTGAGATGACAAAAAGAAGGTGAGAGCAAAAGGCAGGCCCAGAGATTGCTCAATTTGGAGCTACATTCCTTCTCTCTCCCCCCAAACTCTTCCTCTATCGACAATGGAATTTTTGCAGGACGTCGGGATCCGAGTTTTGCGATCACGCACAGCAATGTAATTCAACATTTCTCCATATTTCACTGCACGATTGATGTTCTTACCTTTTTCCCTCTTTCTGTAAATCTCCGTTTCCTTTACTGCTCTCTCCTCCATCTCTTTTTTGACTTCCATGACTTTTTAATCCACCACCCAAATGGGTGAATTCATTGATCAGGATTTTGGTTTAACACTTTCCCCCAAAGCGTTGATATCTTGATTGTCTGACTTAGATTTTTGTTTATTATTCCACATTCTCGTATTTCTCGCAATTTGTGTTCTGAATTGTGATTGATCAACAACGTTCATTGTTTTCCTATTTCTGGCAATTGGTATTCATAACGTCTTTTGATTTCATCATTCATAGGGCTTTACGAAAAGAGTTAGGATTTCCCGTCTTTGTTCGGAGATTTTGTCGATTCCGTACGTGTTCGAGGAATAAAAGTTCGTTTATATTTAAATTGGGAGTACAGGAAGGATATGTTTTGAGTGATGCATAATTGTTCTTTGCTCAGGATTCTGTTACAATAAAGCATGGAGGACTAGAGCTATACGCATTCTTCTGCAGTGGGTCTTATTGGCATTTGAGCTTGAGGGGCGTCGACGATGTCAGCCAAGAGCGAACACCATACGGTCCCCCTTTCTGTGCTCCTGAAGCGTGAATCAGCAAGCGAAAAAATTGAAAAAACCAGAAATTCAGCATGGCCAAGCCAGCCAGAGCAAAAAGGGAGAGGATTTCACGCTAGTAAAAACGGAATGCCAGAGGGTGGTGGGAGACGGGGTTTCGACATATTCTGTTTTTGCAGTATGTTACTTTCATCCTGTTCTTTAAGAGTAAAAACATGGCTTTTTATAACTTATTAGTAGATAGATTTTCTTGCGATATATTATGAATCAAGTCGTGATGTCTTTTTTTTACGTAACCTGGTATTATTCTATGGCATCGACGGTAAATGCTAATGCTCGCAGCTGACCATGAAATTTACTTGATTTAACCATGTGACTTGAGCAGGTTGACTAGGTAGTTTTTTTTCCCCCGGTTTATATTTGATACTTTGCTCTACTTGGTACGTGCTATGTAACCCACTTAGACCGAGGAATGAAGGTTAGCGAGTTGCATATAATGTCTTCATCGGCTATAATCTTCATTATGCAGTTATCGTTATCATTAAGCTTTCATTTGTTCCTATGAAATCAATGATGCTTTCATTTCTTATTTGTTCATCCTTCATATTAGTTAACTGGGTTCACCATAATAATCTTTAGCTACTAGTGCATTGAATGTTTCTTTTTTGCCTCAATACACTGTCTCTTATTTCCTAGCAACTGTTGTTTTGTACTCCTCTTGTTGGTTGCTTTTTTCCCACTTCTAATCTAGAAGTTTTGCAGCTATTTGATGGGCACAATGGATCTGCTGCTGCTATTTATGCCAAGGAGAATCTCCTAAATAATATTTTAAGTGTAATTCCTTCAGATCTTAACAGGGATGAGTGGGTAGCAGCTTTGCCCAGGGCTTTAGTTGCAGGCTTTGTAAAAACTGATAAAGATTTTCAAGAAACAGGTACAATACAACTATTATATTACTTACTCATGCTCCAATTTATGTTATCGCCAAATGTACTTGTCATTATGATCACTTGGAGCTTTTGAAGGTTAAAATGTCTAAACCGAAGAAAGAATAATATCGATGGAGATGCTAACTAACAAATTTGTGAAATATTTGAAATATTTCTAAATTTATGTAAGATAGAAGTGGCTACCTATGTGAAATTTATCATTAACATGCTTTTCTACTAATATCTATTTGAAGATGCTGATTATCAATGGTTATGAGTGAGAAAGTTGCGATAAGGAAATATTTATTTATCCTTGCGTGTTAACGCTGGACTTTGGCCGCTAGATATGGACCTGTTTTTATTGTAGGCAGGAGCTCCAACTAACTTTAACTTTTTGACGCTACCCTGTCTTGAGTATGCAAATTGACCAAGATAATTAAATATCTACATTTTCACATTGAAGGAAAACTTCTATGTACAAAATCTTGTGCATGGTTCACCGGGCAATTTCTGGAGATCCATACTTCCTGGGTTGAAGCTAGTCCGTGGGCAGCATTCTATGAAACCTTTGTTGCGGGCATGATTTTGAATTTTATAACAAGTCCTCTCAATTAAGAACAGGGCATGACACTTAAGCTTAGGTTCCTCCTGGGATTCTCCATGTGCATACAGTAGATCCATTAGGGAGTACTTGTCCAGCTCTGGGCAGTTGTAAAGTTATATTTTTCACATTTTAGCGGGCTGCCTAATAGGCCATACTTGTAGATTTATGAAATTATGCCTTATGTAGAGCATCATAAGTTGGTTTCTGTGAAGAATCTTTGATTTGTAGTGATTGATGAGAATTATTAAGCTGGTTTCGGTTCTGTGATGAATAGTTCTTTTAATTTTTTTATTTGTGTAGCTCAAACATCAGGAACAACTGTGACCTTTGTGATTATAGAAGGATGGTTTGTCACCGTTGCATCTGTCGGTGATTCCCGATGCATACTTGAACCTTCTGAAGGTGGGCTTTATTACCTGTCAGCGGATCATAGGCTAGACACCAATGAAGAGGAGTAAGTTGTGTATCTTTACAACTCTTCAACTGAATTCAATTCATACCTATGTTGAACCATTTTTCTTGATTTGCTTTATCACAGCTTAGTCTCACCCTTTGTTTTCCTTTCATTAGAGTGACACGTATAACGAGTAGTGGGGGTGAGGTTGGTCGGCTAAATACTGGTGGAGGTGCAGAGGTACATCTCCTTTGAATATGATCCTTTCTTTCCCCGGATATTTTGGCTGTGTCAACAGGCTGCAACACCCTGTCGAAAGAATAAAAAAAAAATAAAAACAATGAAACGCACATACAAGCAGTGGGATTGCTAGTGCATTGATCTTAGGCTTCTAGGTGATACTATTTTTTTTTTTTTTTGCACAATTAGTCCTGTTCAGTGAAACTTACGATGGGAAATTTAAGAGGCAACAACTCTTATTGTACCACATACAATCAAAATTCAAGCATACTCGTTAATTACAATTGAAGATACTTGATGATATTGAACAGCGTCTCAACCAAACAATACTTATTTGAAAGATCATTAATGTTTTATAATCTTTCAAGTTTTGAAAAATCTGTTGTTCATGTTTCAAAATCATACTGACTATATATTTATTTGTTATATTGCTTTGTAATTTTACCAATATTTAGTTCTAAAAGGGTTCTGCATTTGCATAAATGACTTTTTATGCCTAACTAGTACAATTATGTTGTAGATTGGTCCTTTGAGATGTTGGCCAGGTGGCTTGTGTCTTTCAAGATCACTTGGTGATTTGGATGTTGGACAATTCATTGTTCCTGTACCTTACGTAAAGCAAGTGAAGGTTGACATACCTTCTTTTCCCCATAATAATATCGTATCCTTGTTGATTTGTTATTTTTCACTTGCCTCTCTTCATTAACTTGCTTTAGTTTATATAATTTCTTTCTCTGCTCGCGCAGCTGTCCACATCTGGAGGCAGACTTATCATCTGCAGTGATGGTGTTTGGGATGCTCTATCTGCAGAATCAGCCCTTGATTGTTGTCGTGGGATGTCACCAGAGGTTGCAGCACCGCATATCGTTAAAGTATGTTTTGTGTTCATCTTTCCCTCTAACTGTGAATATTTGCTTGTTTTCATGTTGGTTGCTTAATTTCATTGTGATTTCAACACCACTATTTAATACACACCATCTGCTCTGACTCGTCATTTTGGCGCACTAATTATCTGTTACTACCCTTTCTTCTATTTTCTCTTTTCAACTTTAGGAAGCGGTACAAGCAAAGGGGCTTAGAGATGATACAACCTGCATTGTTATTGATATTTTGCCCCCAGAGAAACCACCTGCTGCCCCTTTGGCACACGCTAAAAGACCAGTGAAAGGAATGTTTAAATCGATGTTTAGAAGGAAGTCTGCAGAATCATCTTCTTATAATGAAAAAGATTATATGGAGCCTGATGTGGTAATGGAGATGTACGAGGAAGGATCTGCTATGCTTTCAGAGAGGTTTGGTTGTGTAAGAAGCATTGAAGTTAGCTGCGTGCTCCTTTGCTGTGTTTCTTGACACTAAAACCTTGTTGTCCGTAACGTGCAGGTTAGACACAAAATATCCACTCTGCAACATGTTTAAGCTGTTTACATGTGCAGTCTGTCAAGTTGAGATGAAGCCTGGAGAGGGTATATCAATACACGAAGGGGCATCCAACCAAGGAAAATTGCGTCCCTGGGACGGTCCATTCCTTTGCCGAAGTTGCCAAGACAAAAAAGAGGCCATGGAAGGGAAAAGAAAATTAGGTGACATGATAACTCTTTCCATCACACACACACACACAATTCTATTTTCTGCCTTGCCATAGACAAGTAATACGCTTTAAATTTAATATGCTTTTGATCTTTTGCTTTCAGATGGACATGGCAGCGGGAGTGACTAACGAATTCGTATGTATACTTGCATTTTGAGAGAGCTAATGATTCCTCAGATAATCGGAGGTTGAACTTCCGAACAGTGATTCCCCTATGTTGTCATGGGGGTTTCTCGAGATTTTGGACCTATTTTGAGATTACACCTCAAAATTGATTTGGATTTTTCTCTTTTATCCAAGTGCTTCAGGGACAGATGATTATCAGTTGCTTGTTGTACGATTTCTGACTTGGGAGGAGTGGAATAGCAACCACCCAAGTGTTGTGGAAGGCTGCCTTAACTGCAGTGTACAATACTACAATAGGATGTTGGAAGCATTTTATTCTTTTCCTTTTTCTTTTTTTTTGTGCGGCGAATCGTTCATTTGTACATGGGTCCTTTGGAATCACGATATGGACCTTAGAAGCAAGGGCTTTTTGTTGTAATGTGTTATAGGGAATTCCTTCCCACGTTGGGTTAGAAGTGTATTTGTATGGAGCCGTTTAAATGGTTTGTTGTTGTGGCATTAGATTTTGATTACTACTTACTAAACGAATTAACCCCTGTAATAAAAATGTTGTTTGATCCATAATCCATCATCGCTTTTAAAACGACTGATATCCTTTTGTATCTTTTTTTTATAATTTATAGATTACAATCATGTATAATAATTATGTAAATTGTTTTTTTTTCCTATAATTTTATGGTTGAAGATTAAAGAAATTGCATCAAACATCACGAATTCTAAAGCCCTGTTTTCTAATTCCTTTTCCCCGATTAATTCTGATTATATTTATCCATAATTTTCATTTTCAGTAATATTATAAATATTGAATAATTTTATTTTCTAACGCGTAACTGAGATTTGGTGTATACAGTGGAAAAATATCATATCAATATCACATTCATACAGCACAGTGTTGTTACGTATGATACTGTATATACACGTTTTTAATATTTGTACTAAACGAAGAAATATCGTTCGAAAATAAATCAATCCTCTGTCGAGTCATTAGCATAAACAGTCATAAAAGCCAAAAGGAGAACTGTTCGGGAAATTGTGTGGCTAGCGTCAAGGGAGGAAAAGGTGAAGGTGCTTAAGTCATGTTTGGTATATTAGAATTGGGTTCAAGAGAAATGGAATTGGAATTGGAATCATGTTTTCACTTGTTTGGTATGCATGAATTCAATTTCTTATGGATTCCAATTCAACCAAAATGCCTAGAATTCAATTCCATCTTCATCATGATGGAATTGCCACAATTCCATTGAATTGTCATAAGTGCCCCACATACACACTCCATCATGATGGTTGAGTTTTTTATTTTTTTATAAGGGCATTTTGGTCTTTATCTATTTTAAATACATATATTTATTAATATTATATTCAGATTCCATCTTCATACCAAACATACATTTATAACTCAATTCTATTCTGATTCCAATTTCGATTTCAATTTCAATTTCGATTTCGATTCCATCAAAAAATCTTCCATCATACCGAACGAGGTTAGTTGTTTGAGAACGAAGGATGTTTCTCTATAAAACTTGTTTCACTCCGTGTGTATTTAACTTATAATTTATAAAATTATGGATTCAAATTCTATTATCATCAATATAAGGATTTTATTAATGATCAATTTATAAATATCTTTCTAAGTGTTTTTAAATCTGAATGTACGTCTTGATCCTTGTGAGTTTCATGATTAATTTTTTTATAAAAAAAATGAAATATTTGGTTTTTTTCTTCATAAAACCAATACTTTCATCTGAAACAATTTTTAAATTAAGTAAGAGAATTTTTTTTAAAAAAAATCATCCTCATCTATATTGAAAAGAATAAAGTTGGCGATTATATAACTTCATTTTTTAATATTAGATATAGTCACGTTTTTTTTAATCTCTTGTGTGTGCGTGTTAGCTAATATACAGGAGGGGAGCTAGATTTAAGAATGGGGAGAATGGAGATTAGAAAGTACATATAAGATAATTTTCACATCAATTATGATGTACATAATGTTTATCCCCTCGGAACCTCAATATTAAAAACCTTTTAGAAGCCTCCTTTAGTTTAAAACATAAGACATTAGATAATTTTTATAATTATCTCCCTACTTGTTTATTACTTTTTTAAAACAATGATATATTGAGATTTCAATTGTTATTATCAAGACATTTATATATGATATTCAATGAAAGTATAATTAAAAAAATATAATTTTTTTTAAAAATTAATGTTTCAATTGAATCATCCAGAGAACTATAAATTAATTATCAATGACTTGTATTATGATTTAGATGGATGGAGGATACAATTCTAAGAAAAAGATAAAAGCTGGGAGAGCCCATGATTCTCACAAATTACCTACCAACTCTTGTATATATACATCACATATCTATTTTATATTTACCTTGTTCAAATAACTAAATTGCGAGTGATTCTTTGTATCATACTATTCGTACTTTATAATTTATAAATAATATAATTTTATTGGTTTTATATGACACAGATATATAATAGATGAATGTAAACAATAAAACAAACATTAAAACGAGAAAAAATAGTTTTTTTAATATTAAGTAGTTTTGGAAGATCATGTTAACATCTAACATTCTAACTAAATCCAGTTTTTTTTTTTAGGCCAAAACTAAATCCAGATTAAGTTGCATGAGATCGCTGTAAAATTTTGAAAATAAGATTTTTTTTCGTTCCTGAAATCCATACTCCAAACTTTATTAGAAAAAAAATAAAATAAAAAAAGAAGCCGAACATTGATTGAGAAAGAGAAAAGAACAAATTGAGGGTGGGATGAAGATGAGGCAGAGAATCCAGCCAAATAAATAATGGATGCATGGTGAAGGGAGGAAGAGGTTAGCCAACTAACCAAGAGCACCAAAATTCCTTTATACGTTGGATGGACCACCTCAATCTCATACACGTGCGTGTGGGTCTCTCCTTTCTGCGTCTCCATTCCACTCAATCCTTGCTCTTGGACTCACCCCCCTGTCCCCTTTCTTCTTTCATCATCACTAATCAATCCTTCAACTACACGAACCTGGACTCTCATCGTCTTTAATTAGTTGCATTCTCACATAAATAAATAAACCTCACTTTCTACGTACCCTATCATTCACCAAATCGCAACTTGCTTTGAATATGGCGTTCCATTTGATTGACATTTTAGATATGATCATCTCATACATCTAATCCAACGAAAAAAGAAAGTTGCATCATTTTCAACGCCAAAAGTCGAAGGCCTTTTCTAGTTGACGTTAAACCCACCTCGTCTTAAATTAATTAATCATGAAGTAGCGACGTTAGACGAACAAGCTAGCTTTTGAGGGCACATGAGGAACGAACCCAATGACAATGAAAGAAGCAGATAATTTCTCTGGAGCTGTACATGAATTCAAAGATTCCTTTTTGAAAAGGAATGCAATTTTCTCCCATCATTATGCTCGTGGGAGCTTAATTCTTTCACTGTGGACCCTCCCTCTTGCATAAACTATTCCAAAATGAGGACACAATTCTAAAGTGAAGTCCGCCGTGCCAATCCCATCTTCCTTTGGTGGCCAAGTTTGGATTTTTCTGACCTCGTTTCCAAAATCAGTACCAGCAAAATTGCTGTGACGACTTGACCCGGGCCTACCAAAGCAACAACTCTTTTTGACACACCAAAGTTGTACGTGTTTTACTTTATCATCTCACCCTTGTGGATAGTGGTGGTGGTAGCAACTAAGCATGAAAAAACAACTCAGTGATAGTGCTCCATAAAATCTAAAATAATGTACGCAGGTAAGTTTTCTTCTGGATGAAGATATTCAAGCAAGACATTCCGAGTCCGCCTTTGGTTTTGACAAGGACTGTTTTGTTCTCTCTCGTCCTCGGCTTTTCCTGCCCTTTATCCCTCCCAAAGCTTGTTTAATATGCATACATCAAGAAAAAGAGAATCTCTCCTACCAAAAAGATTGTAGAGCGAGAACTTCAGGCGCTGCATCAAATCTTGTTAGTGTTAGGAGGGAAATCCTAGTGTCATGGAAAAGCATCAGCACCAAAATTACACAGAAAACGATGTGGAAAAGATAATTGAAGGCCAATCAGCAAAGCAATCATCATCTACAGAGTCCCCTGCTCCAGCATCCTCCTCTCCTTCTCACGAATTCTCTTTCTCTGTTTCTCTATACTCTCTTCCTCAACAACAAACCCTACTAGTACTCACAAATCTACGGCTTCACCTAATTCACTTGCGCTTGATTTATCTCCTGCGGATGACATTTTCTTCCATGGCCACTTGCTTCCTCTTCACTTCCTCTCCCACCTCCCTGCTTCTCCTGGCTCTTCCACCAATTCCATGGACAGTTTCACCCTTCCCACCACAGACTCAATACAAGATGAAACACCCATCAAGGAAGATCTCTATGGAAGCAGCATGGCCATGGACAAAAATGAAAGAACAAAGGAAGAAGAAGAAGGAAGATGCAAGTCCAAGTCTTTTTCATTATTCCGGTTAAGAGGACGAAAAGGGTGCGAGGTTAGAGATAGGGAAGACACGGAGAAGCAGAAGAAGAAACAGAGGTTTCAGGTCATCCATGCGTTGAAGAAGTACTTAAGAATGGTGCAACCACTAATGTCGAATTTTACAGGGAGAAGACAGAGAATCGGAGTCCGTGGACAGAGTTATTCTTATTCAGAGAATTTGAGTGTCAGAAATAAGTCAGATTTGAGAGGAAGGAGAGGAGAATATTCAGCACCAGCATCAATAAGAACATCTCCAACTAATAGTGGCCTTCTCCTTCCTACTATGACTCTCCCTCCTGCTAATGATAGTACCATGGAGGAGTTGCAGGCTGCCATTCAAGCGGCAATTGCTCACTGCAAAAAACTCAATCGCAAAAGAAGAGAAACTCAAATGCTGAGGGAGGAAGATACAAGAGAAAGTTTTTCGTACTTGTATTTACTTTTCAATTATTGCTTCCACATCTTCATGATCAGTTAATAATCAGGGACAGATAATTTGTTCTGTTGGATTCTTGTCCTGGATCACCAACTGGGGTACTTGGATGACAAAGAGCTATGATTTGATTCCAAAGTAGTAGTTTTTTTTTTGGTCACGGATTCTAATTTCTAATGATGTAGTCATGTAATTAAGGAATTGCCATTCAATCTGCACAAATTTACTTTCTTTAACAGTACACGGTTTGCTATTTTTACCTCTTATCGTACTGATACGAGGAAATTCCGACAAAATTACATATGGCAGACACGCGCGTCAGGAATTTGTAACTCTGAGGCCCAAGATGGCTCTGATATTCCCCTGCACATTGTACAATTTGTGAGCAATGCTAATTGTTTTAATTTTATTTTTATCGTATTTTCCTTCCCGTGGTTGCTTTTCTGTGTCATTAAAATCATATCGAACGCGCTCGGACCAGATATGACAGATTCGGTTTGCGAAAAATAATGGGTTGTATCCTGTCACAATCGTGTCAGAATTACATGAAAGAACATGTCCTTGAAGGTAAGGCTACAACTGTCAATGATATGTAAAGGACTTGACCAAGTTCATCATTGGACTTAATGGTTAACAAAGCTCGATCCGTGGAAGCACGAGATATCAAACACTTGATTGATGATACCAGACAAGGAGAAATAAAGCTGATAAAAGATCAAATAATTTCAAATGGAGCCCCCACGCGTGGTGGTGATGAAGAAGGAACAAGAAAGCAGACGCTTTTTTAAAAAAAAAAAAAATCAGGGAATGGAGAACGAAGGGGAGTGCAAACCATGCCAATTAAAAGACGCCAGTAATGTCAAACATAGTGATCTGTGCATTCATTCCAAGCAGGCATAATAGAATGGTAAATTTTTTCCTTTTTGAAGAGAAAGCACAATTCCATACGCACATGCACGTGAACTTTTACTTGCTGCCGTTATCTTGGTTTTTCCACGAAATCCTGTGTGTATTTTTTTTTAAACAAGATTATTGATTGTAATAAAATTTTTATTGAGTTACAAAAAAGATTTTGAACACAAAAGTGCAGATAAAATTTATCTCTTTTAACCAACAAAAGTTGAGAACTACCCACCATATCATGTGGAAAAGATTAGGTATATTCATTTTAAGAAAACTATGGTACTACCAACAAGATGCTGTACGGATGGTAGGTTAGTAGGATTTCCTAACACGTGAACAAGGTTCAATTTTCAGATCATGCGTATGGAAATTGTTGAGAATGATCAACTCCTTAAATGAAGTCCCAGTATCTTGAATCTGGAGAGATTATTCTCTAGCACTTGCGCTGAAAATACCTCGAAAAAATCCATTTACTAGCAATAGTGCTCTAAATTCGAGATAATTCCTCTTGACTAAATATCATATCGGCACTGAAAAACTCTAGACTCTATAGAACTCATACTCCTGAGTTGGCGAAAAAACTTACAGGTCGGTGCAAGTTTTACCTCTGCTGGTGCCGAACCAGGACGCCAAAAATAGCCTGTGGCTCGGGTCCAGCCAGGCTGGTAAAAGGCTGAGTTTGGTCATATAAAGAGCCCATAAACAAGAAATATGACCGCCACTCGTCAGTCAAGGTTGCAAAGTGGGGCCATCCCTCAGATCCCGACGCGTGTCTGTTGGGCGGTGTTGGGCTTCCAGCCGAACGGGCAGCTACACTTTGTCTCTTTGAGTCGGCCCAAACATAATCACACAGTAATGTTCTCCCAATTATATTTTTATTCTTTATTTTAAAATATAAATTATAATATTGATTTAGTATAATAAAAAAATTTTAAAAATTAACCATCGTCTTTGAAATTAAACAAGGAACTTTTAAGCAAGTCCAACGTTGTAGTCATTTTTCGCCAATTTTAACATTATAGTTATTGCTATCAGTTAATCACATCCTTGTAATGTATAATTACAATTTAAAATTTTTATTTCAATTTAAAAAAAAATTTTCTCATACCTTTGAATAATAAATAATTTTTTTCAAGGAGATAATTAGCTGATTTTTTATCATAAAATTTTACATGTCTTTTTATTGTGCAACTTAGTAACACGAAAGTGTCTTTTGGAGAAGTAGAAAGAGACGCAAAGGAGTGACACAGCTCGTCATACATTTCAATTTTTCTTCTCTCAATATCTCTGTCGCTCACACCAGACGAAAACATGATCCGCGACCGTGCTCATAAGTTACGCAAACTTGCTCGGATTGCACTTGTCACTGCTTATGAGTTATTACTACGAGACGTGGCTCCGTCCAATTTTATGAAGCAAATGAGTTGTACCGTATGAATTTTATTTTATAATTATGCATTGATGATGTGGATATTTAATAACAGAATTATCTAATATTATTTAATCCTGTAGTTGTCAGATTATTTTAGCAGCTCAGAATTATCTAATATTATTTAATCCTGTAGTTGTCAGATTATTTTAGCAGCTTAGTTAGTTGGCTTCTGCCAGATAAGACCGGGGACTGGTGGGTTTGAATACTCTGAACTAACGCGGGTACAGTTTCCTCCTGGATTTTCAAATATCGCGTCAAATTGCTCTGCTTGCAGCTGCAGCAAGCGTTGATCTATAACGGCAGGGCTTTCCGCCAAGCATTCTCTTAGCTGGGGCCCAGCTATCCAATCTGGCATCTTGTGACGGGCCCCTGATCTCCCCTCCATGTCGGTTTCCTTCTTTTAAATCATCGGCTTCGACTCCGTCGCCAAATTAGATTTACGTAGTCGATTACGGAATGGCTTGACCATTTAATTGAATTATTGATTGTTGATTTAATTGAGTAATGACCGCTGGTTTGGCACATTCCATTTTTTTGGCAGCGAATATGCTTCGTTTGCATCCATCATTCATCATTAACCGTGGGTGGTTGATTCCTTAACTCATTTTAGTTCTCCGCAGTCTCAACTTTTCTTTACACGTGTTTGCCAGCAACAACCGAGAGCATCTGATTGCTGGTTTTGATCTCTTAACACTGTATTATTATCGTATTATCTTTCTTTCTGGATTTTTCTTAATCTGAGTAACCAGGCGTCCTCGATCGATTTCTGGGGCAATCTATTGCTATGACTTACGGTTTCTTCCTATTTATGCTTTTGATATTTCGGGATAAGTAATAGAGGAGTTGCCACTTTTGTTCTCATAGACGGGGCCTGAAAATTATGGGGTAACTTTCTTCGATGTTTTGAGTTGTCTTGTTTGGTTTTTTCGAATAATCAGTTCAGTCGTCTTAAGCGAGGAGGGATAGAGGATTCAGCGGAACGCGATTAAGATTATCCTTAACGGGGTTATCCAGATTAGAGTAATTTAAGAGGATCCACGCGATGGAGAGGCTAGGCAGTTACATTAGTCGGAGCGTGAACACTGTTTCCGGCCCTTTTCATCCTTTTGGTGGCGCCGTGGATATTGTTGTAGTCGAGCAGCAAGATGGGAGCTTCAAGTCGTCACCATGGTACGTTCGATTTGGTAAATTTCAAGGTGTTTTAAAGGCAAAGGAGAAAATGGTCAATATTAGCGTTAACGGAGCGGAAGCTGATTTTCATATGTATTTGGATCATAAAGGAGAAGCATTCTTTATGAGAGAAGTGGATGCTAAAGATGGAGAATCTATGTTGTATCCATCATCTTCTAGCGATGAGACAGATAGCCGACCTCTGGACAATAAGCGCCCACTGAAGTCCGAAAGTTGTAATTTTGAGACTGACAAGTCAAATTCCATTGCTCGTGTAGGTGTAAACAACGGCGAACTCTTGGCCAGAGCTAATTCTCAACGATCACGGCTACTTGGTTTTGTATTTAATCGAAGGTCGGTGAAGGGCGATAATGGCATTCGCAAGGAAATAGAACTAAACAGGGTAGATTCATTGGAGCGTGCCGAGATTGCAGCTAATTTGTTGGAATTAAAATGGTCTACCAATCTTGCAGGTTGTAAATCAGCTCGTAAAAATAGCATAAAAACTTGGCAGAGCTCGCTTTTCCACGATAATGCTTTGGACCAATGTCAATTAAACGAGGAAGCTTGTTCCTGCTCTAAGCAAGAAGGTATCGGTTGTTCCAAATCTGTATCTGAAGGAATTGGTGAGGAGGAGAGTATAAACCTGTCATGTTTAAGCACCCAAGACAAAATACCTGAAAATTTTGTTGCGGGTGAAAGCTTTACGGAAGGGAAAACCAAGGTGATAGCGGAAGTATCAACAATAATTGATGTTGATGAGGATACTAAAGGTAACCCAGACGGGAACGAAGTTGTAAATGATAGCACCAGTTCTCATGTACAAGTTGCATGTGTAAAGCTCGAAACACACTTCGAAAAGCAATTGAGTGGAGAAGAGGTTTCTGGAAATTCTAGGGAGGACTTTTCAGCAAATGGAGATGGGTCTTTTGGTTATTGCAAAACATCAGAGAGAGCGATGGTGGGCACGGATTGTTCCACTGATCGAACTCATGAGGTGTTTTACCTTTCTAGTAATGGACGTGAAAGTCAACAAGTCCATGTGCAGGCTGAAATCTTAGTGCCAAACTTATTCCTGCGGTATAATGAGCATAGCAACAAAGATTCTAGTTCGGAACCAAAAAAAAGTTATTCTACTTTATTTTAGTAAACTTAATTGAGCTTTATGAATCAACTGGAATAATAAAACTAGACACATGTTCTGTTGTGGTGGACACTGACATATTAAAGTTCTTCTGTAGGTACAGAAACTGAGGAAGACGCTAAGAATGTTGATCTCAGGATGCCAGTTGAATTTTCGGACTTTCATTCTCAAGAAACAGATTGCTTTCATTCTGGTGTTAGTTATGGTATGGCGAATGCTAAAACCCAAAAACGATGCCAAATCCTCAAACTTTCAATTTTGGTCCGGAACTTCGTTTGCTTGAGGAGTTTCAGTCAAACTGTGGTGCAGCAACTTCCCGTTACAGCTGTCCTGGAAAACCAATTATTCGATGAGAATAAAGAGGAAAATGAGATTCTGGCATGTTATCTTCTCCCCAGGTTTGTATTGGTGATTGTGTCCTTAGCAATGCTACAATTGTGGATAGCGTTGAAAAAGTAAAACAGGCATTCGATACTAATTGTGATTCACATTCATCTCCGAAAAGCTCAGCCACTAAAAGTCATATGTACGACCTTCAAGAGTTTAGACAAACATGTCCCATAGTTATCCCTAGAAATAAGGTTGCTTGGGAGGAAGCTGTCCTGCTGACGGGATCCTTGCCCAAGATGTCTTCTCATAGTGACCGTCCCAGTAAACATGATGTTCCTCATCCTTTAAGTCAATCACTTGACTCAAAGTCCAAATCGTTGAAGTGGACATCTCCTGCCAACAATTACTTGAAACGTCTAAAATCAGATGGAG